TATATATATATATATATATATAGTTTGTTGGTGTCTTCATAAGCAGCATGTGAAATGCTATAAACTTGTAGTACTCCTCTACCTTTGGAAAGGTTACATACAACTCTAAAAGGCTTATACTTGCTTGACCATGTTTCTGTGTCACTGCTTCCTATAGAGTGTGAATAGAGGGATAGAATACAGACTTGTGCATGTTGTTATAAATTGTAGGTTTATGTCCCTTGAATGTATAATACGAATGATGTTTACATAGGTAATCTATGATTGTGGGATATTGCACCAGGAATTTGTTCTATCTTAACAGTGCAATATATTATAGTTTATATTTTTGTCTTTGTTATCTGCAGAAATGACTGGATTCTCCTTTCTGCACCAACAACCAGTAAGAATATGTAGTAACAGAACAACAAAACCATTCAGCATTATAAAATCCCTAGCAATACATTTCAATTGTTTGAATAAAGATTTTTATTTTTTTTATCTATTTGCTTATGTTTGATTTGTTCACTGCTTAATTTATTTTTGAAACTAATGTGTATTGAAGATACTTGTTACTTACATGTTGGATTTCTGTGAACCTTAATACTACATAGTCATATATGTATTTTTTTAAATAATATATTTAAATTTAGTATTGGGATTTAAATACTCAAACCTTCTTTACCGTTAAAGCTTGTGTATTTGAGAATGATTGCACCAGTGATTGAAACATCATACCTGTTCTAGAAAATAATCTTCCTTACTGTAAAAGCTATAACTTGAATAAAATACTTAATCAGTAAGCAAACTCAAAATGAAACTACTTATTAAAGACCGCCCATTTTAAAAATGGAGAAATTATCATGATACATTGCACTGCTAAGTCAGAGTGCAAGCTCTTGGTGAAATATTCCATTAACCTAGATAACCTATTTCAATTATCATACTTATTATACATATGTACATAACAACCAAGTTCACACTCTTTACTGACCTCATTTTGAGGATGATCCACGCCTCAAGGGAGCAATGATACAGAAACAGTGTCTGTGATTACTATTTTCTTTTGTTTTATATAACAATACAATAATCAATCATGTGTTTTCTAATTTTTAAGATATAAAAATAACTTCGACCTCACTTTGGATATGTTTTTTTTTTTTTGCTATTCTGGGTATTAAAGTAAGAAGAAGAATATCTGAATGTAGGTAAAAAAGGAACAAACTATTTTTTGTGCTTGTTTTCACAGTGCTTTCACATCTCTTAGGTGATATGTGTGGTAAATAATGAACATTGATGAGAACTACTTAATTTACATCTAATTGTAAATAGAATGTATATACAGAAGTGACACTATTTAAACTAGTGTGTGTGGAATTTGACTAACCTTATTTATATCACTTCTAAGTGATCAATGGAAAAAAATCCACCTAAATTGATTATTTTCTGTTATTTTAATTGGATTGATATGACTTCGTAGTATTTCATATAATGAGTGAAAAGGCTGTGTATTGTTGTGTATTAACAATTTTGTCAGTTTCCAATCCCAGGACATGTGGGATGTAGTTTTTTGTCATTTTCTTGACCATGTATATAACAAAGATGTATTATAATGGCTGGAGACGGCTTGAATGGGTAATGAAGAAAAACTTTAATACAACAGCAAATGTACAACGTTTCGACAGGGTTTTGTCATCATCAGGTACCTTTTTGAATCCTTTTTCCATGTGCTATTTCTGTCACTAAGAGTTTAACTTTTTTTTTTCTATTTGGTTTATGAGCTATAAGCTTTCGTTCAATTATTTTGTTTAAAGAATAAACAATGAACATTACTGATCTATGAAACTGAAAACCTTAACAGACACATTTAGTACTCAAATGATTAATTTAGACAAGAGGTTTCATCCTTTCTGCATTATTGATTCTAATTTAAATTAATTTGCAAGCATTATAGGAAAAATAACACTTTTACAGTGACTTATGTGAATGCATTAGCTTAAGTAGATGCAGATGCCTACAGAGGTTGCCAACAATTATAATTCTTTGTGTGGCATTAAATAATATACGTGGGTGTGTTCTCATTCACTGGTTGGTGCTCTGGTTTGAAATTATTTGTTAACTACCTGGAGTATCCGTCCCCTGGAAGGAAATTATGAAAATACATGTTTAATGAAAGGTTATCTTAGGACATGAAAAGGAAGGAAATTATGAAAATACATGTTTAATGAAAGGTTATCTTAGGACATGAAAAGTTGCTTCCCTTTTATTTAATCATAAAAAATGCAAAAACACCCATAAAAACTGCAAAACACAAAATGTGAAACCACAAGTTTGCATATATCTCTGCATGGACTCAATGAACCTTCATGCCAAACTTAGTGAAGATCCACCAATAGGGGGTGAAGTAGTGGTAAAAAAATGCAAAATGTCCATGAAAACTGCGAAAATTTGTATGTATCGTTACATGGACATACAACAGACAGTACTATTATATTTATATAAGTTAATTGCCATAAGAAATCAAATGTAAATATGGTTAAGTAACTGAGTATTGAAGTGAATCAGATATCTAGCATTGAATAGAGCAAGTGTAAAAAAACTACTTTGTGATGGTGCTTCTAGAAACACTTAGCAAAACACACCCACTCTAACTTTTGAATTATAACTGTAGCTATTGGCAGTTTGTAGTAGAAACTTTAGACATGTAAATATAATTATTAGCCCTTTAAGTGCCAGTCTTGGTGACAGCTGGGCCACTACACCATAATGAACAAGTTTCGGTATACCTGTAATGCATCCAACATACATCATCCGAATGATCCACCCTGCTACTCCAGATGGTGCTGCCATCTCTCCATAACTTGAGGAATTTTTCATCTTATTTGCGTGAGTGGAAAATGGAAGTTTGGCAAGGTTATTGTCTGCACTGTATTGATAATCTTTGTTTACAGTCTACATGAGTAGGCTAGTAATGGAATAAGTACTTCGGTAAATAATCTTAGATTCACTGAATGATGACAATCATCTATATGACAGTAAGTAAAAATATCGAGGTACATTATCATTATATAAAAATACACTGAACATCACACTGTTATATGTGACAGTAAGTAAAAATGTTGGAGTACATTATCATTATATAAAAATACACAACGTCACACTGTTATATGTGACAGTAAGTAAAAATATCGGGGTACATTATCATTATATAAAATACATTGAACGTTGCATTGTTCTATGTGACGGTATGTAAAAATATCGAGGTACATTATCATTATATAAAATACGCTGAACATTGCATTGTTCTATGTGACAGTAAGTAAAAATATCGGGGTATGTTGTCATTATATAAAAATACACAACATCACACTGTTATATGTGACAGTAAGTAAAAATGTTGGGGTACATTATCATTATATAAAATACACTGAACGTTGCATTGTTCTATGTGACAGTAAGTAAAAATATTGGAGTACATTATCATTATATAAAATACACTGAACATTGCATTGTTCTATGTGACAGTATGTAAAAATATCGGGGTATGTTGTCATTATATAAAAATACACAACATCACACTGTTATATGTGACAGTAAGTAAAAATATTGAAGTACATTATGAACTCCAACAATAAAATTGGCTGATAGTGCTCCCTCAGTTATAATCTCTAACAAGAATAACTGAGTTCTAAAACAGTACAGAAGCTAGAGCTGCCAAAGCTAGTCAAACATAACTGACAGTAAGTGGAGTTGAATCAGTTATAATTCAGTCAGAAGTAACTTAGTGCTGAAACAGTACAGAACCTGAGCTACCAAGGCTAACCAAGCATAACTGACAAGAAATAGGATTGAATCAGTTATTAGCTCAAACAGAAGTAACTTAGTGCTAAAACAGTGTTCAGCCTAGAGCTGTCAAGGCTAGCCAAGCATAACTGACAACAGAGAAATCTGCTTCAAGGTTTTCCTTTAGCTGAGAAATAAAAAATTCAAGTTCCTAAAATGCACTTATAGCTTAATAAATTTATTCAGCAAAAACATATGGGTTTTTTTATGTGTAGGCTTAATAATACAAAAAAAGAAAGAAAAATTCTGAAGATGACAAATCAAACGTGTATTGGTTTTGACAGAAAAGCAATACATTAGAAAAACAAAGTGGAATATCATTTAATCGTTAACAAAATTACTGGTCTTTTGAAAGGATTGACTCTTAATGTTAGCAAGAAGAAAAAAAAGTTCTCAGTGTATGAAAGATCAAAATGTAAATATTATAAACTTCACAGATATGAATTTATAAATGAATGGATATCACAGAAGGTTGATTCTATTTGTTACTTCAATGACAGAATATATATTTTTGAAATGTTAAGTTTTATAAATTCAATGACATTATGTGAAATACACAAATTGAAGTTGTCTTTGTAATTATTTTGTTGCTTTTTTATAGTGAAGTTAAATTTACGAAATGTTTTTTCTTTCAGCAACAATTGACATAAAAAAGAATATTTTTGATTTGGCAACAGATCAGTCCGATTGTTTTCTTGCCGTTGTTGAAGTAAGTAATTGTTTTAATTTGTGTATTTTATATGAACATAACTTTCTAAAATTTGATATAGAAGGTAAATTTATTAGTATTATGTACTAGATATAAAAAAAAAATCAATTCTTTATGACGTAACAGTAGAAACTTGTAATTTTAGAAACCCTTACACTAATTTTCATAAGGTCTTAAGATTTTTGACAAATTAATGCTTGGTGTTAGTAAACACAGATGTTTCTATTATAATGTTACTCACAAAGGTTATCATTATTTAACAATAAATAAATTTCTTAAAAACTGTATATTTTTGTAGTTGACATTTGTAGAATTTGGCCAACATGTCTTTCAGCAAATTTAAGAAACAACTGTGGTTGGTAACTTTAGCCCACACATTTCAGATTTATATCATATATTCATTCAAACTTTAATTTCCGTACGTAATAAATCTTGGTAAGAAATGCTATGTCATGCTTGTAGATATATTTATGATATTCTTATACCTAATTGTTCAAAGTTTTCTGGATATAGCCAAGTACATCCAGTAAAATTTATTCTGCCGAAAATCTCTCATCACAAACAAAACCCAATATCTGGACTTAGATATAAGTATTATCAATAAAATATTTAAGTTCAGAATTTTCAAAAAATGTTCACTTTTAATTTTCAAGGTATAGTTTTTTTATTTCCAAATAAGCTATGGTACAATGTGTAATGCCCACAGTTAAAGATACAATTTGTTCAATGTTATAAGATTTCACGGACAGAGCTTATAATCTCGATCTTATTTTTCACATTTAGTGATTCTCCTACTGCATTTTTAACATCATATTTATTCAGTTTTATGGTAAGGTGAACAATCCTTTTGCTACTGATTATGGGATTTATAGTTGTACAGGATATCCCAACATTTTCAAACTGTTATGTGTACATTTTAATTTCTTAACTGATTTTTTTTTAAGGGAATAATGAAGAACTTTAGTATGGCACCACTGTTAGTTTTACCTCTCATTGTAATTCATGCAAATTGTGTAACATTTCTTTAAATAGTATATCATTATGTCATTGATTACTTTCTATTCATTACTTCAATTGTCGTATCTACCATTTTTGTTAGTTCTCTTAATTTTATTATTACTATGATTGCTCCTATATCTTATCATTCCCTTGTAAATTTTGACTAGTTCTTAAGATTAACTTTATTTATTACTTCTGGCTGCGTGATTGGCAAATTGACTAAATTTACCAAGTTATCTTCCTTTTTGTTACACTTAATTGGAGTAAAAATTGTTGTTGTAATATCTTTACAATCCCACTAAACCAGACTGTAAATTAACATGTGTTGAGGATTTGTCTCAGATTTTAATCTAATCTTAACTTATCCTGTTAGAGCTGTTTTGGTCACTAGACGTTGTTAGTGAGGATTATATAAAATTTTGCTTTTATTGGTGTCATGCTTTCCGAAGGACAAGGAATCAACAATAACTCAAAGCAGACAATTGTTGTTTTTTTGTGTTTTGTAAGCAAGTTATATTCTTTTCCCTGTTTAATGTTCGTTTCATTAATGCCATTAGTTTAAATGTTTAATATATGTAATGTTGTTATTTTCATTATGAGAATTGTTTTGCTTTAGCTGGCCAAACCTTTTAAAATATTATTGGAATTATAGCCAAAAATACCACTAACAGTTAAGGTATACAAGTGATGAATAAGTTTTTGTTTCATGGCATTATAAACCTGCTTATTACATTATCTATATTACTACTCAACTTATTTTTAATTCTGACCTGTGTTGGTAGCTTTCTTTGATCATAAGGTTATGATAATTAGCAGTAAGTTTGTGGTTCTTAGCTTATGTTAGTTTCTTATCTCCAGCTCACGTACTTTGAAAACATTGAACTGTTTAAATTAATGGTGTCAAATTTCCAAGCTTCTAAGGCTAACAAAACCATAAATATATCACAGGAGAGCAAGGATTATTTTCTTCTTTGCAATATGTTTGCCATAGAACTTCCATTTTTCTTTTGGAACAGTATGTTTCAAAACTTTTAGTTATTTCATCAGAAGCTTTTCTTGATCACATAGTTTCAACTAATCAAACTATAATGTATTTCTTTTATGCTATGTAAAAGTAAGAGACTAATTTTATTTGTTCTTCTGGTTGATTATTTATTTTGTTGAAGTATTTACTCTGACAAGTTGTTTTTTGCTTTACAAAAACTCCTGCTTGAAATTTGAAACTACGTGTTGTGCCTCAGCATAAGCTTAGGGATTTTTTTAAAACAGTTTTACATAATTTCTGAAAAAGGCATAAAGAAATACTTGTATAAATACTATTTATTTATATTGTATAAGATATGTATTGTAAATATTCTGTCAACAATGTGAGGGAACATATGATTTCGTGAGCCTATGATTGTGCTAGAGCTAATAAGCATGTGTGAAATCTGGCTTTAAGATCCTAAGGTTACAGGTCTATTGCTAACAGCAGTAACATACAGCTATGACATATAGTGCTATTCATTTCGTTATAAATTGTAAGTCTAATATAGGTTCAAAAATGTTCAGTGGTTATCATGCTTTGGGTTTGAAGTGTTTTTCTGAATGAGTTATATATTTTTATGAATGCTAATGCAGAAGAGACTGGAAAGAGTTAAGTAAGAAATGTGGTAAGTTGTTATGAATATTATTGTTACAATAATAGTAAAAGTGAGTTTTCATCTTAAATACAAGTGTTGTTGGGAAATAACAGTATCTAAGGTATTAGAATAAAATAGTAAAAAGGCAAAAGATATAAATATACTCCACACATTTACGTATTCAGGTTTGGCTCAGTGGATTTTCTATAGAGGCATAAGTGTAAAGGTATAGAGTTATACAGTTACTATTAGGTGTTTTATTCTAAAATATGTGATGTAAAAACACTGGATTAAGGAGAAAGTTATATCATGTTGAGAATTGAAATTATAAAGATTTGGAGTTGATGCTTTCTTGAAGACTTAAAGTTTCAATCTTATATATGGAACTAAACAAGTGGGAAAACAAATACCACTTCACACTCAAATTAATGAATGTGTACACGCACTAAACAAGTGGGAAAAAAAAGTAACACTTCACACTCAAATTAATGAATGTGTACACGCACTAAACAAGTGGGAAAAACAAGTACCACTTCACACTCAAATTAATGAATGTGTACACGCACTAAACAAGTGGAAAAAAACAAACAAATACCACTTCACACTCAAATTAATGTATGTATACACGCACTAAACAAGTGGGAAAAACAAGTAACACTTCACACTCAAATTATTGAATGTGTACACGCACTAAACAAGTGGGAAAAACAAAAAGTTTCCTAGCAGAACACTACTTGAACCATCACTAAACTGTTCATTGTCGAGTTCTAGCAGAAATAAAAAATTACAAATAAAAAGCTAAAAAGACATGTAGTTATATAAGAAATCTCAGTTACCGTTCTTTCACAATACTGGTGTTGACTGTTGTTTTATTATTGAAACAATAATATGCACAAACATTGCTCACATTTTCTATTTAAATACATCTAAATCTCCTGAGTGTTCTCTGTTAAAGCTAAGCCTTGTAAGCAGCTGATATCATTGATAAAGGTGAAAAGTGCATCATCAAAATGTTATTAAAATGAACCGGAAAGAAGTGTAATTTATTTACAGAATGTTTACGGTACTCCAGTGTGTGCTATGTATTGAGAAGGGAATTAAAAAAAAATATCCATTTGTTTAAAACCTTTTGAGTTGGACTGTCCTGTGATCATCGATGAGGGTTATGTTTCGTCAAATTGGTAGATGAGTAGACAAAAATAAAGTTAAGGTAAATTTTCTAATGTCTTTTGTATTTCCAGGAATTTGTAATAACAGTAATGGCATAATGACCAAATGGCCTTGTGATCTGAGGGTCTTGGATTTAATTACCATTGCCACTAGACTTGTTCACCTTGTCTGTTATTGCAAGGCTATCTACCACTGTCACTAATTTTGAACTGCTGAGTAGAGGGAGGGCAACTGGCTGGTAGCACCCAACACCAAATTTCTGGCTACTTAATTGTTAAATAAAATGTAAATTTACAGTTTTTTACAATGCGTTATGTTTCTGATTTATAATTGCATGACTGTATCCTTTAATGTTGTTGAAACAGGCAGAGATCTGTGTGGGGGTCTAAAGGGTCTGGAGCATTCCATAAGAAGGCACAGAACTAGGAGAGGGGGTCAAACCCCTCCACTGATTTTTTTAATAACTATATTATTTAATGTTGTATAAGCAGGCACAGATTCCAGAGAGTGGTCTAGGGAGGTCTGGATCGCCATTTTTAGGAAGTAATAATTGTATTCTTTTGTGTATAAACAGACATGGACCTGAGGAAAAGGTCCAGGAGGATGAAACCTCTCCATTTTATTTCAGAAATTAATACAAAAAAAAGCAGCTATTAATTACCACAAAATCATTTTTTTATATTTTTCTGGAGTCTCCAGCAATCCAATTAAGGCCCCAGCCATTATCTGATTATGTCTAAGCTGATGTAACAATAATAACATCAATTAAATGTTACAATTGTAAATTTTTTTTACCTTGGTTTTTTTTTTCAGACACTAACAATCTGTCTAAACTTTGGAGCTTTGTCTTCATGAAAGTTTGTATTGTATAGGACATCTGCAGCTCTTATAACATAGTCTTGTTACAGAATCGTTTTTTTTTCATTGTTTGGGAGCTAGAATTCTCTTGAAATCTTTTGATGGTACCACTTGAAGTGGTTTGATCATTTACTAAAGAAATACGGGTTTGAAAACAACTATAAAAAAAAGGTTTAGATATGACTGTATAGAGCAGGAATTAGACTATCATGTAGTAGTTTAATAAACATATGGGTTTAAGAGTTTGTATTTGGAATGATTTTTGTAAACATCCTTTCAGTTCCATTCGTTGGGAATTGTGAAATTATATATGTTTAAAAGCTACAGACATTTTCTTTGATGGGAAGATATCAGGTAACTTGATTTAAGGTCAGTTTATACAATTTAGAGACAGACTGAGTGGGTAACAAAACAACTTTGTCAAAAGCTTAAGTTTAACCCAGTAACAAATGTACAATGTAGTGTACCTAGTCTCGGGAATATAGTTACAGCATGAAACAAAGAAGTCACGTGACTAGAGAATGCTTCAGGCTTAATAAAGGATCACGTTAGTGTTTGGTTCTTTCTTTAAACGTACAATGTTTTTACTTTTAAGTAGATATACTATGGTTTTATTTAGTTTCAGTGTTTAAGTTTAATCTTTACTGAATATTACTTTTATGTTTATCCTATTCAACAATGTACATAAATAAACTGACTACTTAATTATTTGTAATTGCATTCATGATATGCTTGAAATACAAACAGTATTTTTATGGCTGATAGTAAAACAAGTTTTCATTATTTAATTATCAATTTATTTGATTTACAGAAGATCATTGTTGGATCTTGAATGCTTGATGCTTGAAATACAAACAGTATTTTTATGGCTGATAGTAAAACAAGTTTTCATTATTTAATTATCAATTTATTTGATTTACAGAAGATCATTGTTGGATTACAGCATATTTTGAAAATAAAACATAATGAACTGTCTTTGAAGAAAAAAGAGATACATGATATGAAACCAAGAGCAGGTTGAAAATTACCTTCAAAAAAGCCACCAAAACAATGTGAATGAAAATGGGATTGTTATTACCTAATTAAAGTAATGCAGTGGTTGACACAGTTGTGAAGGCAGTGAACACACCCACTTTTTCCTTGTATGGAAATGGAGGTGTAGGGGCATGTACTAATGATTCATGGGCCCAGCAATTTATTGGCTAGCAAATAACACTAACCACCAAACTCTTATGAATTTTATGTTTCTTGTAGTTTTTGAAATTATTTTTAATATTTTCAAACGATTAGAACTATTTTTAAAGTGGTACAGCTTAATAATGAGTTAGAACAATGATGAAGAAAGGAACAGTTATATTTTTTGGATGTGTAATTTCATAAGTACATCTTTTTTTAAAACTAGAATCAACGAGGTCGGGATGACTTCAGTACCTCCGAAAATATCTGTCGCCTTTATGAAGTGGGTAGGCGGCGTGAAGAAGACGATGAGGTAAACTAGGTTTTTAAGTGTATTGAATGAGTACTTCACTTACCTCTAGCAAGTGATCCTACGTGGTTTTAAAAACTATTGTATCTCGTATAAGTCATTAGAGAAATTAATAATCTAAAATTTGAAAAAGGAACAATGTATGACCTAAAATAATACATAGACAAAATGTGCATAGTCTTAAGTGAAACGCAGGAAATCGTAATTCTGTATTTATTTTGGTAACTACGTTTTATTTTGAAAAACGTTATTTCATTCAGACTTGTTCCCCAGTGGGTCAGTGGAAGAGTATGGACTTCCCTGCAGTGGACAGAGTACAGACAGCCAATTTTGTAGTTTCTGTGCACTTCAAAACAGTGACAACATCATGCAGACTTTCTATGCATCATTTATCATATATATAAAATCTTTTAAATTTATCATACACAAACAAATTACTTTCACAAAGCTGAAACTTTTTGCTTAATAGCAAAATTAACACAATATGTGATTAATGTGTGCACGCATATATTGCTTAAGTAGTTGACAAAAATGTTAAATGATAGAAAACAGTTATTATTGTCCAAAAATTTCCTTTACACACACACACACATATACATATATTTGTATATGTGTGTGGACACTCTAAATTTGCGTGATATATATATATATATATATATATATGTTTATATTTTTGTTTTGGCATTTTATTTTGTCCACTGAAGTAGTCTAGTAGTAGCTGATCGGTTTAAATTATGAGAACAATATGATTTATTGAACACTAATACTATTATAGAAGCACCATTTATTAATTTTTAAGCTATGAAAATCAAATAATTTTATCAGAGTACGTTCCAATAAAAAGGAAATTGTGTTGATTTCTTAAACTTTTGTTTAAGAAGTGAGGATTATTAAAGTATACAGCATCATATATGGAGGTGCAAAATGTTAGTGGAAATTTATGCATTTCGCTTAAAAAATATGAGCAGAGCATCAAGGACAGAAGAGGTGATGTTATTATTGCTACCCTTGAATATATTTAATAGAAGAATCTACATATTTATGTTGCTATTATAACAACAATAAAAACATTTGGATTTTAGTTCAGACCTTCAGTGGCTTAGGTATTGCAGTTTGTCGTCTGTACTATATAACTAAAAAATATCATTATCAATCTTTTTACAAGTTTGGGTTTCATTGATATACCTGACTTTTCTGCTTGACCTTATATTGTGGCATTAAATCTGTAAAATTTCACCATAATTTAAATACCAGGCATTTACAAATTAGTAGGATATCATATAAAAAAAACAACAACATAATCCTGAAGCTGTAAATGGTCTGGATGTAATTTACATGACCTCCACCTACCAGAAGTTTGTCACGGAAATCCTGTTGATATTTTACCATTTGAAAGTTGACAGGCATGGAAAAATAAGGTTTAATTTTCAGGTTTTGCACAACAGAGACTAAGAGAGTTTTAACTTCTCTATAATGTTAAAGAAACTTAGATCCTGGGGATTGTCTGTAAAACAAAATAACGGCTAAATGCAAATTGCACCATTCTGAAAAATAAATGTTAGTATGTTATACGTACTTTATTGTAAAATTTGAAACTTGTACATAAAATGTTTTTCTTTATATACAGTTATAAGTAAAGTATTATAGTAAATATGCCAAAGTAATAACAGTTCACAGCCATTGGTGCAATAAGGGTTAATATGTTAAACAAAGATAAACATATTTTCAGTGTACTTGGTGAATGAAAAATTCATGTTTGGGTTGTAAATAACAAATTTTTTTAAAATCATGTTCTAAATTAATAATTTTTCATATTAGATAAACCTACAGGTTAATTAGCTTATTTGTAGTGAATAAATCAATATGCTGTTAAATCTTTTAGGAAGAAGAGGATGAAGAAGATTCTGATGAACTTGATGAGGATGATAGTGATGATGATGACGACGACGACGATGATGACGATGCTGAAGATGAAGACCTTGAAAATGAAGGTATGTTTAACTATATTTAATGCCAAAGAACCAGTCTTTATAGAAGTCCTAAACAAAAAATGGCACACATTACAACAGAAGGGTGATGAGAAGGATTTTTTTTCTGTTTAATTGTAACATTTTTCCACCAATTCACAACTATATGTGAATCAACTAAGACTATTTTATGAATATTTGCTTTTAACCATAAAATACCCATAACAGTTAAGGCACAACTTTGATGACCTTATAGTCTTTGTTTGTTATTAATAGTGCAATATGGGTGGAAGTGATACGGGCTCTACCATTTATATTTACAAAGAGGTGTCTTATATCCTTATCGGATCTTTCCAAATAGACATATGCCAACCATTCCAAATTTCACACAATCATTCAAAACTTTCATATCCATTTTCTTCCTGTTTAGTTGAGTTCCATCTCCTCATAAATGTTAGAAGAAAAATGTTTTAAATGTCTTATATATTAAGGTAATATTAAAAGAAAACTATCTAATGTTAACAATTTCATCAAAATCGGCTGTATTTTCTATTTTATTTTTACCAAGTTTTAATAAGATTTCATATATTCTTGTGGTGTCAGTATGAAGTAGGTATTAACCAGAAATTGTTATCTGTTGAAAATTAATAAGAGAAAAAGAAAACATCCATTGTAAATTTCTCACCGAGAATAGTGTTGCATATAGTGGAAAATAATTAACGTCCACTGTTACCTTGAATGAGGGTTAATTCATGTTCACATTTTTCTGTACTAGGTGATCAAGAACATGAAAATGGTAATAATAGAAGTGATAGAGAAAACAGGGATGATGATGATGAAATGGCAGTCATCAGCTTATCAGAAGATGACTCTGATGATAACGATGAAACAGATGTCCTGTTTTCTTTGAGGACAATTTGACCATTGTGTAGTAACTAGTTTATTATGTATGACAGTTTGTACAGCTAAATGTCTTATATAAGTATCATTTTAACAGGCAAAAAATTAAACGACAATGTTTATAACACTTGTGTCTTGTATTTTTCTTTTTCTTTGATACGAATTTATAAAAAAAATTCAGTGTTTAAATTTTTAATGCATTTGGCCATATTTTATTTGTCTGCTAGACGATAATGCACAAAATTTCGTTTCATGTAAGGATGCCTTTGGGGCCACAACAATCACTTTGAATGACAACTTTGTCATTGTGATTCTGGTGACCCATTAGCTTTTTATGTATGTGTTGTTATTAACCATTTAATTCAATTTTAATAATAATAATATTATTTTTCTATATCTTTGTCGTAAACAAAGTCAAAAGGTAAATTTGTTCGATATTTTAATCATAAATAATACCCCCCCCCAAAAAAAAACAATAATGAAGTAGATTGACCTTTATGACTTCAAAAGAAATTCATTTAAAGCATTATAAAAAATGTGACCAGTATTAAACAAAGACCTGTAAGTGAAAACACTTTTTAAATAGTTCAAACTCATAACTTGTATGATATTCACAATAGTATGTCGTTTTGTCTGATTATGCTCATATAGTTTTCTTGACCTTTGACCCCCTCCCGAATATTTCAGCTTCACCTCAACTTTTATTACGTAGACACTCGTATGTATTAAAGTATAGTTTGAAGACTGTTAAAACTCAGTTCGAACTCTCGGGTTTATGATAATGACGTTCCAGTATTTTTTCTCTCCAGAAATAATACCGTAAAAGATCAAAATATTGAACTAAAATCATAATTTTCACGACAAAAGACAAACATCCACCATTTTATTTTTCTTAACCTCATTTAGCTGAAATTAGTATAAAAAAAATCCATTTTTTTTTCCTGCGTATTTCAATTATATTCAGATCTTTACTTTTGGTCACGGATCGTGGCGCGTCCACGTTTGTCTTTCTTGGTACATTTTAAAATCAAGTATTTATACTTCTCTCTACGCTTTTCTTATGGCTGTACTACAATTTGAACGAGAAGAAATAATGCCCATTCTTTACAGCTAAAAAAATATATATATATATATATAAGAACCATTTCATCGTAGCTGTTGTGATAGTGGCCATGTGTTTGACATGTAATATCTAATAGCAGCAGCTGAGTAATTACAGGCTAAGCAAATTCCGTGGAGCTTTCACAACGTTCTGTAAGATGTATAAGTTAGTATTGACTCCAGACAAGTTAGCTGACGAAGCTACGATGTAGATTTTCACGTTCTATTTCAAGCTGTTTATTTTTAGTCTACTGATTTTTTTTTTTCCAAACGTAGAAATGACAATCAGGAACTTTGTGTTCACTACAGCCAACAGCAGCGTGCAGTGACCTGAAGCCGTTGATGCTAACCGCCCGAGGTTAGGCTTATCTTCGCCTCGTGCAATAGGTGAGGCCAGCCTAACATTTTAAACCCGCGTAACTTGGTGATTTAAATATTGCCTTTCTCCTACCAAAACTACATTTTATTTCTCGTTTGCGTGTTGCAGCGACAAAATAGAAATGCATGATATAGCATGACGATATGGATAAGTGGAGAGCTGAAGTATGGAAAACGATACAAACAGTGTTTATAGATGCGTCTACATAAACGAAATTAGAAATGATTCAAACATTTACGTGTTTCTCTAGATGCGGCGTGGGCTGGCTCAATGATGGAAGAGCCCTTTTTCGAAGATGGCGAGCCGAATCGGAATACGTGCGATACCACAAAATATCCCCCACCCCCATAATATAAGTTGTGGGTGTGTTATAAGGGTGACAGTCAATCCTTTAACATAGGTGATGCTGAATGGCTGCCTACCTCTGGTCAGTAGGTCAAAATGACGTACAGCGACAGATAGCCTTAGAAGTTTACCTCAAATACATATCTTCTAGACGGAGAAAAAAAATTAATTATGTGTATTGTCACATCTTCGATAAAAGTTTATTTTTTTCTCGGTTGTTTTTTTTTTCTTGCTTCTGTATAATGAATTAATGGTTAATTTAATTCATGTACAAAGGTTATTAAACGTAACAACCAAACACTAAAATACAGGGTTCGAGTCCCTGCAGTGGGCTGAGTACAGATAGCCCACAGTGTAGGTTTGACCAAAATTTACTTTTCTTGTCGTTTCTAATAGACAAAGGATCAATTTATCCATACCTTTATAGTTGTGGATAAGTATATATATGTTATAAGTATATACGTGCGGGTTAAAAAGTATTATAAATATAACAATTAAAAACATTAGATATAATTTTGTTTTTGGAACTAATTTATTGCCTTATTGTTATTTCTGTGACATAATAGCCATACACACTGATTGAAACAGAAACCTCGAACAGTTTTAGTTAAAAACTTAATTAGTACTCCATCTCACGTGAATACAATCACTTCGTGTGTTTAATCATTTCAGTAGACTCCGATTAACACCATTAGATATTAATACGCTGATTTTCGTGTTGGGAACTACGTTTTATGTCTATTTGAACATATGACGAACAGAAGGAAGTGCTTGATAGTGGTACGAAATGCCTATGTCACTTTTTGAAAATAGAATTCAGAGCTGTCGGGTACAATAAATAATGGATGGCGAACAGGTTAACTCTTTCAAAGGATTATGGCATACAGTTGCCACCAGATTGTAGAAGTTTTTATACGTCAGTGGCAGCCGTATTGCCATTCCCCCAACAAAGGATGTACAAGTAAGAGAAAGTATAAAATAATGCCAATTATGTTTGTTTGGTTGGTTGTTTTTCTGGTTACTTTCACTCAAAACATTTAATTCAACTTTTAAAAACTTTTTGCCCGTTAAAACATTCGTAGGCAGTTCATTAATTTATGCTTTTTTAAAAATTCTGATCAAACTTTGATGAAACTTACTAATAATTAACAGTATATTGTAACAATAAAGTTCAATGAACATTGGGAAATATATAAAAGAAGTTAGTTTATTGAGCTAAACCAACATTTTATTAACCTCGTGTGGGGGCGTAAATGTGCGACACAGAATGTACAAAAATAGGTAATCGTTCCCGTGTTAATTTTTACCGTCCCTCACCTAGATAGAATCGTGCGCAAACGATCGATGTCACTTGGTAAAACGATTCAAAAGTGATTATCAAGACAACCTACAGGATTCCCGTGTTAATTTTTACCGTCCCTCACCTAGATAGAATCGTGCGCAAACGATCGATGTCACTTGGTAAAACGATTCAAAAGTGATTATCAAGACAACCTACAGGATTCCCGTGTTAATTTTTACCGTCCCTCACCTA